AAGATTTCACAAAGAACTCACAGTTGGCCACTTCAGGTTCTGTCACTGTATTCGTGAAGGCACTTCATCTGCCTAGGGATTTTCCTATCTTTTTAATTTCCTCTCTTTCTACCTTGCTGTCATTGGTTTATTTATTTACTTATCACATAATTACTGAATGTCAACTATTGCCGAGCACTGTACTGGAGATTAGATAGAGAAATTTAAAAACACGTGCTTTAGTTTAATCTATTGTGTACCTTCTCCTTCTAGTGTTTATATGACCTTTTCTTGTGATTATGTCTTCGTCATACCAAAAAGAACCTTCCATTTTCTTTTCTTCTTGACTTAATTTGATTCCCTGACTTTATCAGTAGCTGTAAAAGTTAATGTTATTATACTCTTATTTAGTATAATGTAGTTATTATAAATGAGGATTTATTATATCCTCATTCAGGGAATATCTATGTATCTCTCTATATTTGTTTCTGTGCATACATACATACATACGATGGGGTATAATTTGTTGAAAATGAAGATTTACTTGTTTTCCCATAAATGATGAAAACCCACACAAATATTTTTATTAGCAATTTATTTTACAAGGTTAACTAATATTTATGTCACGCCTATTTTAGGCACTTGGGGTGCATTTGTAATCATACAGTTGTGAACAAAGTAGACAAAAATGTGTACCATCATAGAGCTTACATTCTCATGGAGGGAAATACACTAACAATTCATAACAGCTGTTATTTTGCTGGATAGTTGTAGTTATTTTGTTAACAATAAAAACCTAGTGTTTTGCCAGCCTATTAAAATGGCATTCTCGGGACCTTTTTGTGGTGTTATACGTTAGATACTCAAATTTTTTTTATATCACTGTTAAATAGAATAATGTTTTGAGGCTCCTGAAACATTCTGATTGCTTATCTGTAATAACTGAGCTATTCAAATAATAGCTTGTTTTCTGACACCATTCTTCTTCTGTCGACCTAGCCTTAAATCTTTGGACACCAGTCTTCCTACAGCAAATCTCAACAGACATGTTTTCTTTTTAACTTCTCCATTACTTTCCAGTAATTTGTCAGTATTTTTGAAGGAGTAACATGCATTCCACCTTAGTATAGCAAATTGTGAGCAATATGATAGAACCCTGTTTGAATTTATATCTGATATGTTTTGACATGATATAGAAATGTGGAACATAAATATCCCTCACTATCCAAATACATTACATTCCTGGGGTGGAATAGTGAAAATTCAAGTAGAGAGCTGAGATAGTAAGGGATGGATACCATATTATCCAAATTTGTTTCTTTGTTTATTATGATAGCAAATAGGGGAGGTAAGTTAGCAAGGGATTTATTCAAAAATTTATCTGAATCTATTTAATTCTTTAGTTCAGATAGCAAGGGGTAACCTTTATTTGTTT